AGTTCAAATTAGTCCCTCTAAGGTTGTAACTGCCTTGCTTCACATTTAAAGACTCAGTCTTTAGAAAACTAAACTGGGAAGAATCTTCTGTAAAAGACAAGTCCTACAGTGAATGAAGTGAGGCAAATCAGGCATAGGAGTAGGCTATTTAGGTAACATCAATTCCAATAAGACAACACAGCTTTAGTGTTAGTTAAACCCCTGAGCTGCTGAATTTGCTGACTGAAAAGTTGACGGTTCAGATCTGGGGAGCAGGGTGAGCTCCCACTGTTAGCTCCAGCTTCTGCCAACCTAGGTGTTCAAAAACATGAAAATGGGCGTAGATCAATAGGTACTGCTTTGGTGGAAATGTAATGACTCTTCATGCCAGTCACGTGACCTTTGAGGTGTCTATGAATGCCGACTCTTCAGCTTAGAAATGGAAATGAGCACCACCGCCCAGAGTCAGGCATGACTAGACTTAATGTCAAGTGGAAACCTTTACCTTTATTTACTATACCTTCAATAAATAATTGTCTAAGGTGATACGGCTTCATCCAAACAAACATACAACATCATCTTTAGAATGGAAAAGACAGCTTTATTGGTTACAGCTATGGTGGGCTTGGCCCAAACGAAAGGGTCCCAGATGAAGGCATTGACCAACCAGTTGGTTGATGATACTAAAACTCCAGCCAACAAGCTGGAACCATGGAATGACAAGGGAAGTGGCCATGTGGGCAACCATACCTTGGTTGAAATACTTCCCCTGCCACCTGGGGATGCCATAAAGGTGCCTGCCCCTTGGAGAAGCATGGGCTGCCTCCATTGCACAGTCCATACATCCCCAAAGGGAACTCACATTTTTAATTACTAGTGCATTAAGGGCACAGTCACTCTAGGTCTCAGATCTAACAGTCATGACAACTGCTAAAGTCGACCACTTAAGGCCCACCTTCCACCAATTTGAAACAGTTGGAACCAGCCCAATCACACACACCCCTCCACCCCCCACCCAGGAATCCCATGCGCAGAAATCTTTTTCTTAATGTGAAGAGCATTTCAAGATTCATGACCACAGTCCTAACAAAGTGCACTCTTATACCCAAATGACCTTTTGTCTCTTTGAATTTTCCTGTTTCACGTGCATATTGCATTCTTCCCAAATCAGAGCTCATCTCCCCTCCCTTCTTGTAAACTCTTCATACCCGCCAATTTTCCCAAATCACATTGAGTTCCTTTCCTCTCCCTTCTTGTAAACTCTCCTCCTGCCTGCCAAACCGCTGCTGCTCACCATGCACGATAAAAGAAACATACATTACAAACAGCCTGTAGAAAATTATAAACACTGTAATGTACATGAGCTTCTATCTCTCCAGCCTCATAACAGTCCCCACTAGGACTCCACACTCAACAAATATATTAGCAGCTACTAATGGCATCTGCATTCTGCCGCCACAGCGCCATCTATTTTAAAGCTACTGACGCCATCTGAAAATGAGCACCACCCTAGTATAAAAATAGCAGGGTCTAGACCAGTCATGGGCAAACTTCAGCCCTCCAGGTGTTTTGAATTTCAACTCCCACAATCCCTCACAGCCTACGAGATGTTAGAAATTGTGGAAGTTGAAGTCCAAAACACTTGGAGGGCCAAAATTTGCCCATACCCGGTCTAGACCCTGAATGAATAGGGATCCATTCAAAGTCCTGCCCGAGCACAATTCCCCCTCACTGTAAGCCCTGCAAATGAACTATCCACCCCTTCCTCATTTGATTGCACTTAGGTCTTATCCAGTGCATTATGAAGTGCATGTGGAGAGGGTGAGGGTCACCTTATTGGTCAACTAGTCCAGTAATCTTTAGCCTAGAAGCAGGAAAGGACTATATTTCCCTTTGTATAAAACCCACTGTCCATTAGTCTTCTCCCCTGACTCCTCCACCCCAGTGGTTATCTCTGACTAGTCCCTAAAAAGGCTATTGAATTAAAGTTGTTCTGGTTTTTCTGTAGCCCTATCAATCACACCGCCTAGGTGAGCTAACCAACTCGCCAAATCTACCAAGTATTCCATCACTGCTACCTCTTCCTCTTGGAACTCCCTTGCTTCAGCCTCTGGGAGCTCACTACAGATGTTGTCTTTGTAGTCTTTCTTTCTGCCAACTCTGGCAAGTCCTTTAAAGCCATTATCTCTGCAAAGACTCCTCTGATGCCAGTGTCATTCCCTGCACCGTCTTCAGCTCCTACTCCACTGGTATTCAGAAGATGAATGCCAGCTTAAATAGAACTTTGTTCAGCCTGAATAAAACCCAGTTTTCATTCTGATTGGCCTTAGCAGCCAATGAAATCAAACTTCAGTCACTGCATGCCGCTCCCTAATTGGCCCAAAGCACAGGCTCCCTAGGAAAGGGAAATGTAAATTACAGATGCCACATTGCAGACAACGATGCTTATGCTCTGCCTGCTCCAAATTGCCATCATAGGGTAGGTCGTGTGGCCCAATAATAATAAGTGACATCACTCCTTTGAACAATTAAAAAAAACTGTTTAGGACAACCACTCCTCCTTCAGAACCAGCAATAATTTTAAAAGAGAGTGCTTGCTCAGCTCAACCATGCACAACGCAATCAATCTCAAAAGCTGTAGCGAATTACATCAAAGGGATTTCCCTAACTTCTTTAGTTCTAGAAAAGAATAGCTAGATTTTCATTTCTGCCCCTCAACAGAATACATCCCAGTTCCTTCCCCTGCAGGTGCTAGCTTTTTTAGATGTGAGCAAAGGATTATTTCCTACTGTAAGGATTCACTGTCCCTAAAGTATGATGTTAAAACATAAGGACAACAGCCAACACACATTGTGCCATTATTTTCTGATGTTTTTTAAGGAGAATATTTTTTGTATCCAATTCCAGGTACACTTATTTAACAGAGGCCTTATTACATGTGCTGTTCTTGATGAATTATTCTTGGTAGGAATCAAGAGAAACATCTTTTTGACAGTTGTATCACTTTTTAAGGGCTTGAACACCCTAAAATCCTTCCAACCAAGATTAGCCCCAGATAGTACTTAGATGACACATTCCAAACACATGGGCTGAATATGGCCATCATTTTATGGGGCCTGTGAGGCTTTCAATGCCAGGGCAACATAAACTTATAAGTCTTACAATTGCAACTGGCCCTTTGAAGGCAACCAGTAGGCTGCTGTGGACCTCAGTGAAAATGAGTTTGACGTCCCTGACTAAGATGAAGCCACCAATGTAATAATAGATGCTATAGATCAGTGTTTCTCAACTTTCGTACTGCTGTGACCCTTTAATACAGTTCCTTATGTTGTGGTGACCCCCAACCATAAAATTATTTTTGTTGCTACTTCATAACTGTAGTTTTTCTACTGTGATGAATCATCATGTAAATATCTGACATGCAGGGTGTATTTTCATTCACTGGACCAAATTTGGCACAAATACCCGATATGCCTAAATTGAATACTGGTGGGGTTGGGGAAGGGTTGACTTTGTCATTTGGGAGGTGTAGGTGCTGGAATTTATAGTTCACCTACAATCAAAGAGCATTCCGAACTCCACCAACGATGGAATTGAACCAAACTTGGCACACAGAACTCTCACGACCAACAGAAAATACTTGAAGGGTTTGGTAGGCATTGACTTTGAGTTTTGGAGTTGTAGTTCGCCTACATCCAGAGAGCACTGTGGACTCAAACAATGATAGATCTGAACCAAACTTGGAACGAATACTTAATATGCCCAAATGTGAACACCAGTGGAGTTTGGGGAAAATAGATCTTGACATTTTGGGGTTATAGTTGTTGGGATTTATAGTTCACCTACAATCAAAGAGCATTCTGACCCCACCAATGATAGAATTGGGCCAAACTTCCTACACAGAATCCCCATGCTAGTGCAAGCCTTCCTCCAGCCTCACACATTCTCACTTGTGCATATGCGCACTATGCTGTCATGTGCCAAGCATGTCTGCTCTCCCCTCCCTGCTTGGAGTCTCAGAAACAGCCTTCCACTTGGCTGAGAGGCCGGCCAATCACAGTAGGAGGACTTTTGGTGGGAGGATTTATTTATTTACTCTATTTATATACCGCTTTTCTCAGTTCTCGGGCAGCTCAAAGCGCCATCTGTTTTTAAAAAAGGAAGAGAAAGACAAGCAGAGATCTTCAGCCTTCTCTGCCAAAGGGGTTCCTAAAACCATCAGAAATATATGTTTTCTGATGGTCTTTGGCGACCCCTCTGAAACCCCCTTGCAACCACAGGTTGAGAAGCGCTGCTATAGATGGTATTTCAGACAAAGGAACTGGAAAAACAACCTGAGCACTTTTTGTCTAGAGGAAACCCTATGAAATCCATAGGGTCACCATAAGTCAACAAGCAACTAACATTTTCCTTAAATATTTAAAATATTCCTTTCAGAAAGCCTTTGACTAATTGAAACATCATTTCAACCAATCTTTGAATTGTTGAACTACTATTTACTGTTGTGTACTCGATGTGCTTGAAAGGAATTATTATTGTCTTGTTTCCTTCTGCAATTTTGTATTTACATATTGTGGGTATAGCTGTATTCTATGACCTACTTTTGTGAAGAGAAAATGGGATGCAAATTATTTTTAAAACATGCCTTGCACTGTATCTTATCTAGTACAGACACACACCAGATGTTGGTCCTTGAATTCCCACAGGGACTTATGCATCAATGTTTAAGTACACATCACTGATAAAAAAAAGTCAAGGCCAATTCCATCCTGCTCTTAGTGTTAAAATAGCATCCACAATTATAACAAAAATGCCTATCTTATTATATATTCTGGGCCATATGGCAATAGAACAGATTACCCACCTTCTTGACTCCTTAAGACCTCATTAAATTTACAGCACACGATTTCTGAAATACTTACTTATTCATCTCTACTACTAAGAAAACTCTAAAGAAGCAGAGAGACAGTGTCATAATGAAAAGCAAGAAGACAACCTTAACTTTTACTATAGCTTTGTTATTGCAGTAAGTAATTCAGTTCACTGAAATTAAAAAATGTTTTTATTTAAGCAGAGCTATAATGGCTAAACATAAATATTTTAGGACTATGTGCTAATGCTTTTATACATTCAATTGTGCCCTAAGACATTTTTTTTCAAATTGATATTCAGCTACAGCAGAATTTTTAAAGTCATATGAGATTATACCAGTACACAGTTTATACAGGAAATCTGAACAAGAACCAAATGCCCATATTCTTCTTTGGAGTTAAGACTCGTTGCACGGAAATCCCTATAGATGAAGTACAATTGTAAGAATCAACAGTTTCTACTCATAATTTCGAAGCACTGTTTAAAATAGTGCCTCAAAATGAAAAAATAGTGAGATATGTTGATTTAGATAGATGAATCACAAGTTAGTGTGACATGTTGATTTACCACCTCATCAAATAGGCTACTTTGCCTGTCGTATGCTGCTTGCTCCCTCCTTTCAGGATGAAGCCCATTACGAAGTGCACATGTACTTCCAGCCAAGCTCTGTTGGGAAAGAGTAGAGCAAAATATGTATCTCAGTGATGAGGCAACATGCGACACTTCCCGTGTTGTCTTCAGGACAATGGAAGCCAGAGAGCAACATTTACCCCCGTGAGATGGGGTTTAGAGTAAGTCGCACAAATTTAGGGTGTGGAGCAATGGGTTCTCCACACCCTCCATCGAGAATTCGCCACATTGTGTGGCAAATCCATGGGCCTTTGTGATGAGGACCTTAGATAGGTATATGTATCACATTTGTGTGTAGGATTGCTGAAAACCATTTAATTGGATTTTTCATTTTACATTTATTGCTAGCTGCCATGAGTCCCAATATAAAGAGAAAAGCGAGATAAAAAAATTAAGTAAATTAAGTAACTATATAACAAAACTAAAAGTAAACCAGCTCTAATAAGCTTGGGGTGGGGGTATTCTCAAATGGAAATCTATCAAGCCTTAAGTGGAGCTTCCCCTTCCAAATGTAGCTGTGGACAAATCCACAAAGACAATCAAAAAGTCAACAAATAAATGCATGTCTAAAACTTACAAAATTACAATTTATGGGAGCACATAAAATGCACATAAAATGCCTTTATGAACGTTCAGCACTGGCTTCCCTTATAACTAAATATATGAACTCCCCATGGCACATATGGAATAAAATGTGCTAGATAATTTAGATAAACTTTGTCCCAGTATACAAGACATACCAATTTCTTACTGCTAAACATATCAACATATATTACATTTGTGTGCATTAATGTTTGTAGCTAGATTTTTAATAGCTGTACTCAGTTAACATGTGATGATTCCTAGTCACCTGAGAGGAAGAAGGGGAATGTTAAAATGTCAAAACATGTGAGAATGTGTAGCTTGATCTGTATTTTACAGTAATTTTATTTAGTGGCTATGATTTTATCTCCTTTCTCTCAATACAGGGACTCGTGGTGACTAAGAATAAATTTTAAACAAGTAATAAAGTTACTTGTTAATAGGAGTCAAAATGTAGTTAAATTGTATAAGATCAATTACGTCAAGACACTTTGCAAAGCATGGGGCTACGTCCTTAACACAGGACAGAACTTAAGAGTAAACTACAACTGTGCTTAAAGCAGAAATCCAAAAAAAAAAAAAAAAAAACCAGGAATTAGACTCAGAAAGGCTGATGCTTCTCTCATTGCTGCATTCCCTATGTAATCTTATATACAAGAAATTCCATCTTCAGTGACAGCCTATCACAGTATTTCTATCAAGTACAATGTACTGGTGTGTTTCATAAACTAGTTTATTTTTATTTTGCATTTCTAAAAGTATAGACAATTACCAACCATCATTAGGGGTTTTAAAAAAATATTAGCCTTTGTCCACCAATGTCACAGAAGGCAGTCAGAAACAAATATGGCATTCCCTTCCTCTATTCTTTCAAAAACAAATCAATATTCAGCTAACTGATAAACAGCACAATTAAGTCAGGAAGAATAAAATACAATGGAACAAAAAACGGCAGCAATACTTCATACTGATTTCAAGTTCATTGATCTTTGTCTTAAAATCTTAGGAGTATGCTGGAATATTTACACAGCAACATTGGCATTTTCCCCTGTAAAACAGTTGACTCATGTCCAAAATGATTATGTGTTTCTAATACTGCAAATCCTTTCAGCCAGGTTTTTACCTGGAAAGAAAATCACTGAGAGAAAAATATATAAACAAAGGCACAAGCCACACTTGTTTACTAGGTTTTGTTTGGAAGGAGAAGGAATCACACAAAGCAAAAAAAAAAAATGGTTTTGATATATATCACAAAATAATTTTTTCAAAAGAATCAGGGTATGCTTCTAAACCAGTGGTTCTCAACCTGTGGACCGCAGCCCAGCAGTGGTGGGCCACAAGAACAAAAATCCGGTCCACAAAGCTCCTTCCTCTTTATTTATTTTATTTTACTTATTTTATTTCCGCTCTTTTCCATAGAGCTAACCGGCCCTGCCCCTTTTGGTACTAATGCTGGAGAGTGGTGCCTGTTCAAAGTGGGCCCTGTTCAAGTGGGCCCTGGTCAAAGTAGGCTCTGGTCAAAAAGAGGTTGGGAACCACTGTTGTAAACAAACTAGATCTTGCTGTTTAGTTCTATTTTCTTAAACCTACCTTGTTTATCCTTAATGTCTAAGGTAGTGTTCATAAATAAAAACTTCCAGAGAACCTGTCTGTAGGCACTTGGATAGATTCCTGCAAAGTAGAGGAGAGCAATTAAAAAGTGTTGTATATGGAAAAGAGAGGGGAAAGCGCTCAGGCCTTCTGAATTAATGTTTCATTCCAAACCAAGTGGACACTGTTAGCATTAAAGAACAAGGTTCTCCCGAGATCATTCTGAGCAGATAAAATGATTACAGAATTAAAATTAAACTGAGCTCAGTCCTTTCACAACAATGTCCATTCTTGAACTGCCCCAAACACATATTGTTATTGATACAGTTCAACTGCAAGCAACAAATCTGTTGTTTTACAATTACATATCTTAGCAAAGTATACCCTAATCTACTTTCAACCCATCCCTAGCCTATCCTGTGCAAAGTCCTGTGAATACTTAGGTCCCATCTACACTGACATATAATGCAGTTTAACTGCATTCTGAAACTGCATTATATGCCAGTATGGATTAAGCCTTGGAGACACTATTAGAAGTAATATTTAAAAAATCAATGGCCATACATAAGTTGGGTTCAACTGTCCCTACCCTTTCCATGTTGTGCTATAAATTCTGTCTTGTCTGTCTCTTACTATCTCACACACAATCTACCTAGCTATTATCTGGGAATTTGGTACAATCCATATATCAATATAGCAAATTGCATTCAGCACCACTTTCGACTGGTCTTGTGGTTCTCAAGCTGTGTGAGTCCCCAGGTGTTTTGGCCTACAACTCCCAGAAATCCCAGCCAGTTTACCAGTTGTTAGGATTTCTGGGAGATGAAGGCCAAAACATCTGGGGACCCAAAGGTGAAAACCACTGTACAGATAAACTTGAGAAACAATTCTCCAGAGCTGGCAACTAAAATGGGCAAAAGGAGCAAAAGCTATTTTAAGAAACATTTGAAACTGACCTCTCTCATTAAGTATTTGTGTGTTTGGCTCTCTTCGTGAATCTGTATCTCTGCAATCTTGAGAGTCAGTTCAGAAACAGCAGCTTCATTTCTGTCACAAACATTGTCAACTACACTTTTGTCATAATTAAAGCAAATTCCATTGCTTCTTCTGTTATCACATGATAATGTCTTCTGGTCTCTTTTTTTCTTAGAATGTTGTTTTTTGGAAGGTTTCTTTCTTGAAATTTCATCAGCAACACATTTGAAAGGCAAATCTTTTTTTTGTAGATCTGACAATACACTTCCTGCATTAGAGCTCTTCTGACCAGGTGCCTGAGACAGGTCACAAAGATTTTGTGAGTTCAGGAAGTCAGTGTTTGCACAATGAACTGACTCAAAAGAAGCTGTTTTGGTATACACTGCACAACCAGAAGCAACCAATGTGTCTGCTGCGTTGTCCTGCCCGCAGAAAACATCTACCCCTAATTTTAGTCCATGATGGTGCTGACTGAACTGGAATGTGAGATCTTTTCTCTCAAAAAATTCTATAATTTTAAGTTTTGCATCATAATTCCAGTCATTTCCACCAGCAGGTGAGATTCCAAATAAACAGGAAGGATAAGTTAATCGTGGTAAGCTAATAAGATTTTCTGGGATAATTTTCAACTTGTGGATATCAGAGATAGGAATGGAATCTGATAATCCATCATCAACAAAAGTAAGTATTAAAGTATTGGAAACTTTTGAGACCTCAGAAACTTCAACTCGATTCCATTCTGCATCAGCCTCAGTCTTTATCAAACAACAGACACCAGGAACAATGAACTCCTCTGGCATAGTTGCCAAGTTTTCTGGAAGGCTGGACAGTAGCATAAACAATGTTTTGAAATCTTTAAAGGAATCTTCTAACTGAATGCAGAAATCTGAGGGGTCAGTGACTGATGTGACAAATCCAGCATACTGTTGATTCACCTGGAATGATGCCCAAGCAATTAAATGTCGTCTGAATGACAAGTCTGGTACTGTTTTATCCACCAGTAAATTTTCTGATATATTGGATCCTTCTAAAGAGCTATGCAAAATGTGTTGACTCCAATACTCCAAAAGCAGAATCTCATCTATTAAAATGTCTACTTCCCAAATAGAAGCCAATTCTATGTATTTAAGAAATAAGAATGTGAAAATATGATGTTTCAAAATGGATGCCATAGTCTCATAAAACAGACCGCCTACATTTTCTATCCAAATCCATCTGCAAAGCACCGCATTCCTTGGGACATCTCTGATCTTGCCACTCAACATCCGTACATCATGTACTGACACCACTTCAAGTTTTCCCAAATCCATGAAAAATACCAACATATGCTCATTTGAAATTCTTTTAACAACTTCAGAGCGATACCATTTCAAGGTTTCCTGAGATTTTGTCAGGCATTCTAATCCTTCTGCAATGTTTTCTTCTGCAAGTAAAAAGTTCTCCCTAGCATCCTGAGCAGCCATCACATCTAAATCAGCAAGTATTTGTGCATCCTTTTTCAATATTACATAGAAGTTTCCATTTCTTGTCATAAACTGTATTTCACCTATTTCTTTCTGCCCAGGTTTTATTTTTTGGTAGGGAATTTGAGACAGACTTTCCCACATATCTGTGATCTGATGACTTGGCACAGGTATTTTCTGTAAACTTATGCTGGCTTCTATTTGCATTAACTCACTTATAATAGATACACCATTACAGAACACACTGATCTCCCACTGTTGGTCATGCTGTTGCAAAAACTCAAATACAAGCTGCTGATCATCTACTTTACTGGACAAGTAGGCAGCAGCATCACTACTCCAGCTTTTATCTTTGGCTTTGCTAAGAAAACAATGTATACTGAGTCTTGGAAAATGTAAGAAATCCTTTTCCATCTTAAAGATTTTTGATGAACTCACTGTTGATGTGTTACCATAATCAATAAACTCTACTTCAAAACACTCTTCTGATTTAATCTCTTTAATAACAGCTCTATATATGCAACAGTCAAGTTGATACTCTGCTAAAACAACATCACCTATCTCAAGATCAGCAACTGTCTCTGGCTCTAGAGCCAGCTTGCCTTCATTCAGTTTCTCAGCAAGGTGCACAATCATATCTTCATGCTCTGCACAATGAACATAGAAACTTAATGGACTTGTTACAAAGGAAATGTAACCTAAAATTTTGGAATTTGTTTGAATAGGATCTTGCTTAAGACTAGAGTACTTTGGCCTACAAGCGCTACTCCTTTCTTGTTCAGATGGGCTTAATGTCAGTACAAGTGATTCAGTAGTCTTATTTTCATTCACAGCTAATTTATTAGGGTGATCAATTGCTTGAACCAGGATATTTGCCTTTTTTGAGTTTACTGGGAGCTTTACAGGCTGTTTCTTAACGACAATGATTTCTTCTCCAAATGTACTTAATTTCTCAACACTAGCACTGTTTTCTGATCTTGTGTTCATTTTAACTTTATTTTTGACGTTTGCTTGATTTGCATTTAACTTTACTTCAGGTATCATTTTCTTCTTCGTGGCAGACTTTTCTCTATCCCTGCTTATAACTTTTAGGTCCTTGTCACCCTTATTTTGCTTTAATAATTCTTTGATCTTCCTATTTATTTGTAGATCTTTATCATACAATTCCACAGCAAGCTGCCCATCAGATTCTTTAGATACTATCACTGCTTTAAGATTTTTGCTCAAGTAATTCTTTTCAAACCACTTGTTTATTTCAACTGGGATTTCTGTATCTTTTAAATCTGAGAGATAACACCGAAGAGCTTGCATAGGGGCGAAGAGTAATTCTGAAGCATGTTCTGGAATAGCAACCAAATCATTTTTGGCAACTAACTGTTTATTTCCAAAGTCCACAAAGTAAACTTGACAGTAATCTGATGATTTCACGGGAAATGCTAAAGCTCTGTAGAAGAGGCCATCTTCAAAATACTTGGCCAAGCATATCTTTGTTCTTATTTTGTGTGTACCATTTGTCATTTGGATAATCTCTGTAACCTTTTTCAACAGCTTGTCTATATCCTCTGCATTTCTAGTAAGCTGGCAACAGAATTCTGTAGGGCTGCATATATGGCTTACAAACACCTCCTCTTCATTTCCAATTTTTATATTAAAAAGTGAATAGTAGAAACTGTACAATGAGAGAAATGGTGTGAGTGATCTTGTACATTCAAAGGAGTTGAACTGTATGTGACTGCGTCCTATGAGAAACTGCTGTATACTAGCAAATGGAGTCCGCAACTCAACCACATAATATAGACCATGGGGACTCATCATTAGCGCAGCAATTGTACAAGTCAGTAGCTCATTGGAAGATGAGACAAAATGTTGGAAATCGCTATATACCTCCTCAGTCCAGTTGAATGGATCAAAGATTAAGGATTTGCTAACTATATTAAGACAACATGTGAATGCTTGACATTCCAGTGTCAGAAAATCTGGAAGAATAGCTTGAAGGTCTTTCACCAAAACTTTTTCCCAGTTGCCATAGTCTACAAATACAACATTAACTTCAGTTGTTGATAAATGTTTCAATACTGCAGCTCTGTACCACTTTCCATTCTGAGAATGTTTCACAACACAGGCAATGTGTCCATTTTCATATGGGGTGTTTTGAGCATTATAATGACGTTGAATTTGCTCCATCAAGTTATTTAGCTCTGGCAATTTATTCTTGATCTGACATGAAAAGTGACCTGGTGAAAAACTATGAGAACACACCACATCAAGTACAGTTCCTGGTTCAAATATAAACTCTTTATAAGGCTTCTGAATGTCAGTTTTCTCAAATTTTCTTCCACATTTATTATAAAGTGAGCTTTCTGTCTGCGTTGAACTAAAACCAGACTCTTTGATGGCGTGATCAATAGTCAATAATTTCTCATTCTGACCAGCACTGTTACATGTCACAATTTTGTTCTCCTGAGTACAAGATTTAAAATTTGCTCTTCTAATTTTATGTTTTGGTTCCTGTTCTGGGTAAACACTGATTGCTTTCAGCAATGGATGCTGTTTTACTTCCCATCCTGCATGTCCAGCCTGAACCATAAGTTTGAGAACATCATCTTGCTCTGGGCCATTCCCACACCGTACATGGACAATGTACTGATTTCCTTTTTTTTCAATGGGGTGGAGTGTGAGTAGTTTGCCTGTCACAATGTTTGCAAAATAGTCACTATCTTTATTCAGCCATATGCCTTCAATTGAAACTGCATTAGCAAGGGAACAATATATGGCTAAAGCTGGTAATTCCTGAAGCTCAGGGAGCAAAATTCTCACATCACAAAGAGGCACTATTTCAGTGTTCCCAAAATCCAAAAAACTAACATCAACACTTCTGTTTTTCACTTCTGTGATAACAGCCCTGTAAAAATGCTTATCTTGACCAGACCGGGCACAGCACAGCTTTCCAGGTTCTGGGTTTTCCAAAATTTTATCATCCGTTTCATCTGCATCATATGCATCTGCTATTTTTTTCATCAATGCTTCAAATGGATCTCGACAATCATTAGTTTGAACCCAGAATCTTGATGGATTCAAAACATGCACTGTAAAGGCAAGACAGTCAGACTCTATTTCCATTTCTGCTGTCTTGAAAGACATTTTCGAAGGCGAGCATACTAAAGGAGAGTCCCTTTCATCTGAAGAATGTCCTGACTCTATGGTATTCTTAAAACTACATTCAGAAAATGCAAGGCTTCCCCCAGAAGTTGTGTCCCTGCATGTGTAAAAGGGTTCCTTGTTAACAGGACAACACTGTGGGACCACATTATCTTCCCAAGACAGGTGTTCAGTATTCATTACATGATGTTTATGCAAAGTAACATAATACAAGCATTCCTCAACGTTGAAAAGATCAATCTGGACATAAACAGGACTTTGCCTTAACAGTGTCTCCTTAAAAATTTCTAGTTGATTATGTCTTACAGATTCTTCCTGATCATTGAGACACGACAGTGCACAAGTGAATGAAAACCCAGGCATGGAAATGAATTCTGGTTGAAGCTTCAAAAGGTAATTGGGTGGTACAGCTTCACAGCTGCCAAAATCCATAAACCACACCTTCACTTTGTTATCAGGAAGTAGCTGCTGTATCACCCCTCTGTGCCACTGACCATTTTTTCGTCTTGCTGCACAAAGGACTCCAAGACTCTCAAAGGAGAGATCATTTTCTGTGCTAAGAGATTCATAAAAGGAAGACATGCGTGTTGCCAACATATCCAGCTCCATCTTCTGTCTCAGCAACTGGCAGTAAAATTTACTTGGACTGACTGCCACGGTTATTTTTACTTTCTCCATCTTATCAACAGATAAGAGTGGCTGAAGACTTTGCAGAATTTGTTCTGGTTCAGTTCCAGCACTGAATAATACAGAGTCTGGCTGTGTGTATTTCTGCTGCAGTAAATCTGGCATTTGTTTACAAAGAGACTCCTTTGGAAATTCAGTTAACATTTGTACAATAAGACAGAATGTATCTCCATCAACAACCTTTCCCAATTTCAGGTCAACAACATCACTGGTTATTTTTGGCACATCGAGGAGAAATGTTTGATGTGGAAGGATGGCTTGTATTTGGCCTTTAATCCGCATGTTTCTGAATGCTGAAAAGTAATTGAAAGCTTTTGGAGTCCATTTCTCATTAGCTGGTAGCACATTTGCAAAAATGCCCAAAACCATCTTTGGAGGCAGTTGAAATAGCTCATCAGTGGCAGAAGCAATGTGAGATTCATGAACTGTCAATACTCTCCCACTGTCTATCAGAAATACCTCATAGGTATAGATCTTTTTTTGTACTACTCTTCCCCTGGACCATTTTCCAGACTTCGGGTCTTCGACTAAACAAGCCTCACCAGTGCCAATGCTTTCTTTCACCTTTGGCACCTGCTGAATTTCACTTTGCAGAATGTGGTAGTCAATCTCACATTCTGTGTAATACTGCCCTTGAAATTTCACAAGAACTTCATTTGGGTGGTAGTATATGTCAGTAATCTTCACGTCTACCTCTAGAAATTTTGTTGAAAAAGATGAATCCATCTCAACTGCAAAAAAAAAAAAAAACACAAAATGTGACATAATCAATAACATTTTTAAAAAATCAGGACTGCCTTTAACAGTGCCCAAGTTCCGTCTAACTTAGATCTATCAACTCTAAACAGCAGTAACACCTCTTCCACAGACTCATATTAATTTTAATACATGCAATGAAATATTTTACTACGAATCTTTTATTGACATAGAATATCTCTTGTCTATATTGCACAACCTGTTCTCAGAGGTCTGAATGTTTTCCTGGCAAAATACATCAAAATCACACTGCTGTGATGCAGCAGTGAGGATGGTCAGGAAATCTTGTGAAGACTTATTTTTCACTTTTGATTTATTTTATATTTTAAGAAATTCGAAAAATTATATTTATATAATATTCATGGCCAGGCCTTTGCTGCAAGAAATGAGAAAGTACAACAAAACTTCAAGAATGGGACAAATACCAAGAAAGGAACAAAATGAAGTCACCCAATTTGGCAAAAATGCATACAAATGTACAGAGGTGGCATTGAATTAACTAGCCTCTTGCCCAAAAATATATCTATATTGTGTGGTGATGCTATAATTTTATATAAAAATGGAGAAAGTCAAGGGGAAAACCATGGGAGGACTGGTGTGTGTGAATATGTGCCTTCAAGTTGCCTGTTGATTTGTGGCAACTTTGAGAATGTAATAGGGTTTTCTTAGGCCCCTTCCACACAACTGTATAAAATTTACATTGAATTGGATCATATAGCAGTGTGGACTCAGATAATCCAGTTCAAAGCAGATATTGTGGATTATCTGCCCTAATATTCTGGGTTATAGTTATATGGCTGTGTGGAAGGAACACTCAGAAATTTGTTTTTGCCAGTTCCTTCCTCTGAAATATAATCCACAGCCCTTGAAGCAGTCTCCTTTCCAAGCACTAACCAAGCTAACCCAGTTCAGCTTCCAAGATAGGGCAAAATAGATCATGGAGAGAATCAACATAAAGAGAGGACCTTTTGGATACATGCAATGGACACTTAGAAACTATTAGGCAAAAAAAAAAAATGATTTCGGGTAACCCCAAAGGCCTTGTCACACTATCCTGAGACTCTGGCTTCATCTACACTGCTCTATAAGCCAGGATCTGATCCCAGATTATCTGCTTTGAACTTGGTTACATGAGCCTACACTGCCAGATAATCTGGGATAATAAAATAATTGTGATAAGATCCTAGAATATAGGGCAGTGTCGATCCAGCTTTTATTTTAGACCCCTTCTACACAGCCATATAATCGAGATTATCAAAGCAGAGAATCCACAGTATCTGCTTTGAACTGGATTATGTGAGTCTAAACTGCCATATAATCTGGTTCAAATCATATAATCTGGATTTTATATGGCAGTGTAGAAGGGCCCTTCTACACTGCCATATAATCCAGAATATCAATTAAAATAGGCCCCTTCTGCCCTGCCACACAAAATCTACATTATCTACTCTGAACTGGATTTGCTTTGAACTGGATTACATGAGTCTATTGTCCAGTTTAAAGCAGATAATCCGGATGTTATATGGCAGGGTATTTTAATTGCCATGGGAACAACCTATGGAATCCTGGGATTGGAAGTTAAGGGGGGGGGGAGTTAGTGTCCCCAGCCAATGAACTCTCAGGCCTTACCAGACAATCTCCACATCAACACTGACAAAGAAACAACAAGAAATACTGTTTACTCACAAGCATAAAGAAATTACATATATTAGAAACCAACACTTTCTCATTACTTTATTTTCCAGATCACCAGCCTAAGTCACAGCAACACGTGGCGGGGGACAGCTAGTCTAGTATAAAAACATGAACCTCAGTTTACAGCTATGGCATTTAAAGCGACTTGGTATTTTAGTGAAGAGCCCCAACTCTCAAAAGCCCCAGGGCCCTTCCAGACACCCAAATCACCCAGAATATCAAGGCAGAAACCCACAATATCTGCTTTGGACTGGGTTATCTAAGTCTACACTGCCATATATCCCAGTTCAAAGCAGAAAATGTGGGATTTTATACAACTGTGTGGAAGGGGCCCCTGCTATCTTGGCCAATTGTCAGAAATTATGAGAAATGAAGTCCTCCCAAACAAATAAAAACAAACAAACCATCACAGAAAACACAAACTTTGGGAGTCGAGTGCACTGTGATAAGGCCCTGACAGCCTCTATAGGTGCATCCACTGTAGGCTTAATACAGCGTGGCACCACTTGAAATGCTGTGGAGTCACAGGGATTGTAATTTTGCAAGGCCATTGGTCTTCTCTGCCAAATGGTGCTTCAGCAAACTACACATACCGGGTTCCTATAACACCGAAGGCCCTTCCACACAGCCCTATGTCCCAGAATAGCAAGGCAAAAAAAAATTCCCAAAATTATCTGCTTTGAACTGGGTTTTCTGAGTCCACACAGCCAAATATCCCAGTTCAAGGTGGATGATTTTATTCAGCTGTGTGGCAGGGAACTGGGTTATCTGAATCCACACTCAGATAATGTGGGAATTCCTGCCTTGATATTCTGGGATATAGGGCTGTGTGGAAGTGCCCTGAGCAAGAAGTGATATCACATGGCATCCCTTCTAGAGTGTAGCTTTCCCAACCTATGGGAAAACCTCCAGGAGTTTTTGGCTTCCAATTCCCGGACCTGCTGGGTCAATAAGGGATGATGGGGTGTGCAGTCCAAAACAGCTGGAGGGCCACAGTTTGGGAACCACTGACTCCACTGTTGTCTGACATCCCTTTAACTGAGGCCCCTTCCACATAACTGTCTAAAATCCACATTGAAAATGTGGGTTTTTCTGCCTTGCTATTCTGGGATATAGGGCTGTGTGGAAGGGCCTTCAGATAACCCAGTTCAAAGCAGAACGTGGGTTTTTCTGCCTTGCTATTCTGGGATATAGGGCTGTGTGGAAGGGCCTTCAGATAACCCAGTTCAAAGCAGAAAATGTGGGTTTTTCTGCCTTGCTATTCTGGGATACAGGGCTGTGTGGAAGGGGCCTTCAGATAACCCAGTTCAAAGCAGAAAATGTGGGGGTTTCTGCATTGCTATTCTGGGATACAGGGCTGTGTGGAAGGGCCTTCAGATAACCCAGTTCAAAGCAGAACACTTGGGTTTTTCTGCCTTGCTATTCTGGGATATAGGGCTGTGTGGAAGGGCCTTCAGATAACCCACTTCAAAGCAGAAAATGTGGGTTTTTCTGCCTTGCTATTCTGGGATATAGGGCTGTGTGGAAGGGCCTTCAGATAACCCAGTTCAAAGCAGAAAACATGCGTTTTTCTGCATTGCTATTCTGGGATATAGGGCTGTGTGGAAGGGCCTTCAGATAACCCAGTTCAAAGCAGAACATGTGGGTTTTTCTGCCTTGCTATTCTGGGATATAGGGCTGTGTGGAAGGGCCTTCAGATAACCCAGTTCAAAGCAGAAAATGTGGGGGTTTCTGCCTTGCTATTCTGGGATACAGGGCTGTGTGGAAGGGCCTTCAGATAACCCAGTTCAAAGCAGAAAACGTGGCGTTTTTCTGCCTTGCTATTCTGGGATATAGGGCTGTGTGGAAGGGCCTTCAGATAACCCAGTTCAAAGCAGAGTTTTTCTGCCTTGCTATTCTGGGATATAGGGCTGTGTGGAAGGGCCTTCAGATAACCCAGTTCAAAGCAGAAAACGTGCGTTTTTCTGCATTGCTATTCTGGGATATAGGGCTGTGTGGAAGGGCCTTCAGATAACCCAGTTCAAAGCAGAAAACGTGCGTTTTTCTGCATTGCTATTCTGGGATATAGGGCTGTGTGGAAGGGCCTTCAGATAACCCAGTTCAAAGCAGAACACTTGGGTTTTTCTGCCTTGCTATTCTGGGATATAGGGCTGTGTGGAAGGGCCTTCAGATAACCCAGTTCAAAGCAGAACATGTGGGTTTTTCTGCCTTGCTATTCTGGGATATAGGGCTGTGTGGAAGGGCCTTCAGATAACCCAGTTCAAAGCAGAAAATGTGGGTTTTTCTGCATTGCTATTCTGGGATATAGGGCTGTGTGGAAGGGCCTTCAGATAACCCAGTTCAAAGCAGAACACTTGGGTTTTTCTGCCTTGCTATTCTGGGATATAGGGCTGTGTGGAAGGGCCTTCAGATAACCCAGTTCAAAGCAGAACATGTGGGTTTTTCTGCCTTGCTATTCTGGGATATAGGGCTGTGTGGAAGGGCCTTCAGATAACCCAGTTCAAAGCAGAAAATGTGGGGGTTTCTGCCTTGCTATTCTGGGATACAGGGCTGTGTGGAAGGGCCTTCAGATAACCCAGTTCAAAGCAGAAAATGTGGGGGTTTCTGCACTGCTATTCTGGGATACAGGGCTGTGTGGAAGGGCCTTCAGATAACCCAGTTCAAAGCAGAACACTTGGGTTTTTCTGCCTTGCTATTCTGGGATATAGGGCTGTGTGGAAGGGCCTTCAGATAACCCAGTTCAAAGCAGAAAATGTGGGTTTTTCTGCATTGCTATTCTGGGATATAGGGCTGTGTGGAAGGGCCTTCAGATAACCCAGTTCAAAGCAGAACACTTGGGTTTTTCTGCCTTGCTATTCTGGGATATAGGGCTGTGTGGAAGGGCTTTCAGATAACCCAGTTCAAAGCAGAAAACGTGCGTTTTTCTGCATATTCTGAGATATAGAGCTGCGTGGAAGGGCCCCAGATAACCCAGTTCAAAGCAGATAATGTGGGATTTTCTGCCTTGATATTCTGGGATATAGGGCTGTGTGGAAGGGCCTCAGATAACCCAGCTCAAAGCAGATAATGTGGGATTTTTCTGCCTTGATATTCTGGGATATAGGGCTGTGTGGAAGGGCCTTCAGATAACCCAGTTCAAAGCAGAAAACGTGCGTTTTTCTGCATTGCTATTCTGGGATATAGGGCTGTGTGGAAGGGCCTTCAGATAACCCAGTTCAAAGCAGAAAACGTGCGTTTTTCTGCATTGCTATTCTGGGATATAGGGCTGTGTGGAA